ATTAAACACTCTCACCTAGAGAGACCCAATCACTTTAATTTCCGCATTAATTACTCCTTAATCAAGTACTAACTTGACCGTTGGAGGCGGAGCTCCCACCACCAGGAGTCTCCGTTGTTTTGCAGGTACAGGCGTCCGGTTCCAGTCTCGGAATTGTAACTCTCCCGCAGGACATCAGAAAACCCCGAAACAGGTTGGGCTTGGGAGGAGGTTTTGTAGAGAGAGAATAGGTGAGTTCCTTTTGGGATATAATGATGAAAATAAAAAGGTCAGGGGAGTAAGAGCAAAGCTAAGAGACCCGTGATATTAGTCAACAGATCTTTCAATTCCCTTCTCTAATTAGAGGTGTGGGACCTATCATAATAAGAGACCCGTTAGGATTGATAACTGGTCTCTCATTTCTCACACTCTTTTTTAATACACATAAGAGACCCGTTATAATTAATATTGGATCTTTTACATCAATCAAACCCGTTGGTTAAATAACGGGTCTCTAATTGGGGGTCATTTTTCCAAGTTTTGTAGTAGTGAGGATGCCCCGACACCAGGCGATCTACTTTAGGTTATTGTGTATTTTTGGGAGATAATTTCATTTCCTGGTCTTCTAAGCGGCAACCTACATTGTCTAAATCCAGTGCACAAGCCGAATATCGTGGGGTTGCAAATGTTGTGTCTGACTCTTGTTGGATTAGGAATTTGTTGCTAGAGCTATTTTTGCCTATTCTAACAACTTTCGTTGGTATTAAATTGTGCTTAAATGGTATCATTTTAGTACCAAAATACTTTTTATTACTACCAACAACGTAATAAGCTTTGTTGGTACCAAAAGCCTTATTTGTCAGTATTGTGATGGTACCATTGAAGCATAACGCAATACCAATGGGGATTATTAGAGTAATTGAAAGCTAAAGCTACTAGAGTATAAGAAATCGTTAATGTTGGAGTAGAGCTTTGCTGAACAATGTTGCTTAATAAAGCATTTATGACAAAAATAGGTTGGAAATTAATCTCGGACCCAAATGGTTTGTGTAAATGTCTGTTAGAATATATGTTAGTATATTCTTGTATATGTCTCTATATTAATTAAGTGTATAATTAGAGTATGTCCTTTCCTAAGTTTGTTAGCGTAAACATAGTCGTAGATTGCTATTGTAATGTGTATATAATCTTTGCACAGCTAATGAAAATATTCAACGATCAATCTCTTTCAATGTCATTAGAGAACATTCCTTCACAATTCATAGTTTTTTATTTAATTTATTATAAAAATTCCAAACCAAAAGATTCCCACGTATGGTAGAGAATCCTAGCTCAAGAAGAGACCTTAAGAAAAGGTTTTAGTTGATTGGAAGTTAGGATATGGAAATTAAAGAATGATTTCTTCAATAAAACTATGGAAAAATTGCTCAGAATAATCCCTCTTTGCCTCATTCGCCCAAAATAATCCCATCTTTAGATTATTTTTTATTAATCCGACCTATATACTCTATCCGCTCCAAATGGTCCCAAGTGACTAGATACCGGGTAAACAAGTTACCATTTTGACTTGAAACTATTTGCACACGTGTCACCACTCAATTAGTCTAAAATAAAAAATAAAAAATAAAAAAATTATTGAAAAATTAAAACAATAAAAAAAAAACCAATGACCACCTTTTCCCCGGCAGACCCACCACCGAAACCACCTCCCTTACCCAGCCCACCCACCGAAACCACCTCCTCTACCAATCCCACCCATCGATAATGTCCCTCATTCCTAGGAATGGTGAATGTGAGGGGTTTAATTTGCGAGTTTGGGGCTAATTTGTGGGTGTCGAAGCGGTTGCTCTAATGAAGTTCGTCGGCGGTTGATGGTGCAGTTGTGGTGGGTGGTGACTGAGGTGGTGGGGTTCGTTTGGTGTTTGTTGCGGGCCGGGGAGAGTGGTTGTGATGTTGTGGGTTTGTGGCCTCGGCGGCACGTTTGCGAAGTAGTAGCAGTAGTGCTGCTATTTGGTGGTTTGCGGGCTACTACTGGAGTCGGGTCGGCCGGGAACTTGGAGGTAGTGGTTGGAATCAGGAAGGGGAAGGGGGTTGGTGATCGGATTCGGGGAGGGGAAGGGAGAAGGGGGTCGGATAGCCGGTGGTTGGGGCTGCCGGATTCTGGGTTTGGTTTTTTTTTTTACCAATCCTAGACTGACATGTGTCTAGTAACTTTTAATAACAAGTTAGATGACCGGTTGGGACCATTTAAAGCAGAAGAGGTATAAAGGTCGGATTATTAAAAAATAATCGATAGGTGGGATTATTTTGGGCAGATGAGGCAAAGGTCGAATTATTTAAGACAATTTTTCCTAAAAGTAATGTCTAATCAATTTGATATATACCCGAATATGGTTTAAAAAAAGCCCGAAAAGCCTGCTTTGGCTCGATAGATTTTACACAGTTTTACAGGTATGGGTACAAGATAAAGGACCGACCTAACTTGATTTTAACCAATTAGTATTATGTGAACCCACGTCTATACTTTTGAACATTTAGTAAAAAAAAAAAATGAACATTTTACAAAAAAAAAAAAAAAAAATTAAAAAAAAAATGAACATTTAGTAAAAAAATATGAACACGTCACAAAACTGAACATAAACATGCAATTTTTATATTCATATTTTATGAAAAAAAAAATCATTTTTTATACAGTAAATGTTCATTTTATATAACAAAACTATTGAATTATTACGAGTCCAGATAAACTTCTTTCAAAATTTGTTTGACTCGTAATAATTCAAAATTTGCGATTGTTCAGATTTTTTTTCCTAAATGTTCAAAATTTGTTATTGTTTATATTTTATACTAATTATTCAAAAGTATTTGCGTGGTGCATTGCGATTGTTCAGATTTTTTTACTAAATGTTCAAATTTTGCAATGTTCAGATTTTATTTACTAAATGTTCAAAATTCACGATTATTCAGATTTTTTACTAAATGTTCAAAACTATAGGCGTTATGCATTGCGATTGTTCAGATTTTTAACTAAATGTTCAAAAATTGCGATGTTTAGAAATTGCGATGTTTAGATGTTTTTATTATATGTTCAAATTTTGCAATTGTTCAGATTTTTTTACTAAATGTTCAAAAGTATAGGCGTGGTGCACCTATTTCTAGATGCACCATGGTGCATCTTAAAATTTGCGGATTTGAATCACTTCTATCCAAGCATCATCATGTGAAAGTGTGTTTCATCCTTTTCCCATTGAAGTCTATTACTCATCTAAACGCATCCTACACTTAAAATTAGATAATACAGAGTATATGTCTCTGATAGAGTATAAAATATATTCTTCGACCTCCCTTAACCTTTTGGTTGAGTTAGTCCTTTAACATAGTATCGGAGCCAACGTGAACATAGAGGCCCAGGAATATGTTTTATACTCTATAAGTCTCTTCTTACCATTCTAGATCTTTTTTTTTTTTTTTTGACGAGAAGAAAAAGGATTTCATTATGAAAGATAGTCAAACTACACTTACAAACAATTCCCAGGAAATCTAAAATTCCGGTACAAGTACAAATCACCTTAAAACTAGTTACATCGCAAATTCGATCGATGATCGTCTTAATAAAAAACTTCATTCGAAGCAATACCATTTGTGATTTAGCTCTAATTTGGCTTGAGATCCACGGATGAGTAGTTGTTTGGGTGAAGAAACTCATATGACCTTCCAGATACTTTCGGAGACGATGAAACCCTAAATCTTCAATCTTTAGCACACGAACAAACAAAAAAATAAGCCTAATTGAATAAACCCCATCATAAAGATGGGATCCATTTATTGAAAGCAATTAAAAAAAAATTTGGGACTTACCACCGGTTAAACCACCGAAAAAAGCCCCTACAAAAATTTACAATTGAGATCAAAAGAAAAGAGATGGAAGAGAAGAGAAAAAAAGGAGATGAATGAATGAAAACCTTCAAAAAATGAGGAAAAAAAAAATTTAGCAACGGAGGCTAGAAAAACCCTCCCAAGGGAAATTCCTTGGTCGATTAAGTTAATGACTTAATGTCCGTTCTAGATCTAGAAGAAAATATGATTATCTGAGTGTTTTTACTAACTCTTAGTTTTGTAGGATGAATGGCTCGAAAAGAAGAGCGTCTTGCCCCATTAGAAATAATTGGTTTTATAATATTCACTCAGTTCAATAGCTAGAGCATCTATCATATGGAAGCCAATCGTGCAATCAATTAGATTGCTAATGTAGGTAGCTTGTAACAGATAGCATGGTTTTTTATTTTATTTATTTATTATTATTATTATTATTTTGAGACAAAGGATAGCATACCATGGATTTTGATGTGAGTATGTGACAATTCAAAACTAGTTTTTTTTTTTTTTTTTTTTTTATTTTTTTTTTGAGGGGGGGAGGGGATTATTAGGAACTCTTCTTGTGAGGAGAGTTTCTTGTTGTCCCTTTTTCTTATCTTAACAAAAATCTAATATTAAACCAAATAATAGCATTGAAATTACTTTACTAAGCATACAAGCAAAGGAGAAGATAACTTATGCCTAGAGTTGTTAAATCGAGTTTGAGATTAGTTTTCGGATCGAATTGAATTGGTTCTACACCTCTAGTCATATCAAATAATGATTTACGCATGACCATTATATAGGTGTATCTAGAGGCGTCAATTCAGGTACTTGGGTCGAGTCTATTTGAAAGTAAAATCATGCTAAATTATTATGTCTGGACAAGTCAAAATCCAAGTCGGTTTTTTCCATATCAGATTGGATCGGATTAGTCAGGTCATTTTTTTACACCTCTAGTTGTAGACACAAATTTCTTTTTCAGACTACTTCAGATATATCCGATATTAGATCACTTTTTGACAATCCTTCTTTACTCCAATGGACAAAAATAAAAATCGGGCCAATAAGTGTAATAACAAAAGGCCCAATAAAGTGTTATATAGCAAAAGGCCCAAGCTACACATTCGATCCAAATGATATGGTACTCCAAGCACTCATCTAGTAAAAATAAAAGATCCAACGGTTGATACAAACCCTATTACTTTCTCTATATTACTCCCCTCAAACCCTCTCTTCATTCCGCCGCTTCAAGCATTCGCAGTTCTTCACCTCCTCCATCTTTTCTCTCTCCTCTCTTCAGCGCTTCCTATCTGCAAAAATGGTGAGTTTTGTCGATACCTCTCATCTTCATCTTTTCATTTTGCGTCAATTTCTCTTTCATTTTATCGCTTTTTTTGTTCAGATTTCGTTTAGGGTTTAAGGATTTAGGGTTTTATTCAGAATTTTTGATTAATAAATTCGACGATTTTTTTTTTTTCATTTTGTCACTATTTCTTCAGATTAAGTTTAGGGTTTAAGGATTTAGGGTTTTTTTTACGGAATTTTTGATGTTATTTGATGAAAGTTTTGAATTTTTGATAGGTTTTGCAAAACGATGTTGATTTGTTGAACCCACCAGCGGAGCTTGAGAAGAAGAAGCACAAGCTCAAGCGTCTTGTCCAATCCCCAAATTCCTTCTTCATGGTATAAATTTCTCTCCTTTTATTCGTTTGTTTTTCTTCTCATTTCAATTTTTATCTAATTTTATTTGTGTCTTAATTATTTGTTGTTTTTTTTGTGGGTTGATGTAGGATGTTAAATGTCAGGGATGCTTCAACATGTAAGTCTTTGATCGCTACTTTAATTATGTTCGTTTTTATTTTTCATCATTTTTGCGCTATTTTATGAATTTAGTATATTATTAAGGACCATGATTAGGTTACTTGTGATATTAATTTAATTAAAAGTTTGAATTTTGTTGTTTGCAGATACATGTTTTAGTTGCTTTGATGATTTGTATTACATAGTGCAATTGAATGAGACCATATTCTACCATTATTGTTGGTTCAGAGCATTTATTTTGATTATCTCTTTGTTAATGTTGAAAGGGTGTATAATGATGTTTGTGTTCTGTTACTTTCACATCTTTGATATTTGAGTAGTGAATAGTGATTCTAGAAATAGATAGAGAACCCAGGCTTGAATATTTAAAGCCTTTGCCTTTCTTGGTAGGATTTGTGTATTTTGTTCTCCGAGTAGCAAGAACACTGATTTGAAACCCTTAATTTGAGAAGATTTGTTTTCAATAAATCATTCATCAAGTCTGATGAATGCCTAAGGAGATGTTTGCCTTTATTTGTATTTTGACTTTTTTTTTTCTTCTTTAGAGTGCTAATGTTTGGATCTTTTTTTTCCCGGGAAATGATATGTGCCCTGTTCTGAGTTTATTCTCTTACACTTGCCATGTTAACTGAGGTTTGTTTTGAATACCAATCATGATGCGACAAATTTTTTTAAGTAATTCCCAAGTAGAATTGTTTGTAATTTGTGTATCTGGTAGTGATTCTTTGTTCGGTATGCATACTTTGTATGAATTGTATTGCTGTTTGGTTGGTGAAGATTGCACTTCCCTGAAAAGAATTTTTCTGTTTCAAACATTGATCTGTCTGAATTTGATTTTGTTTCTCAAGCTGATTTCTGTTTATATTGATAAATATTCTTTGTTTTAAATTCAGAACCACCGTCTTTAGCCATTCCCAGACTGTTGTGGTGTGCGGTAATTGCCAGACAGTTTTGTGCCAGCCCACAGGAGGTCGTGCCAGACTTACTGAGGGTTGCTCTTTCAGGAGAAAGGGAGACTAAACAAATCCTTCAGAGTAATTTTGTTACCAGAAAGAGTACGTGCTTAGCTTTGAGTTGGTGAAATGAAGCATCCTTTTGTCACTCAATTTCTGTTACTTTTTATGTTTGAGGTCCATGAAAGTGGCTCAGGAACTTAATTTAAATGGTAGCGGTAGTCTTATGGTATGAGATAATTTTGTTTTAAGAGTTTGTGATAATACTATTGGTTTTTTGAGTGACGCTTTGGTAGTTTGGTTGTGACTAGCAAAATTTTGTTATGTTGCCTTTTTCTTGTTTATCTTATTTTAATCAGGATTTGTTTATTTTGATCATTGTTTGTCGTAAACATCCAGGCTTATCACATGGTGATATGCTATTCAATTTGCTAGTGTTTTGAACTGTTTTCTGTTGTACTTGCTTTGGGACTTTCCATTCTACTTTTCCATAGATCTCCACTACCATCTAAAATTAGTACCTTAAGCCAATGTTATGTCCCGAGCTGTATAATGTACTTATTTTCTGAATTCAATTTGATTATATGGAACATATTCGACCAAAATTCAAGTGATAGACCGTTTGAACAAGTACAAACCTTAGTAGGGTAATTTTTCAATTGGAGCTAGCACGCTCTATGCATTTCTGCTATCTAATTAGTTCAAAGCATTGATGTTTTGTTGTCAATTTGTCATTAGTGTTTTAGTCTAAGCAATATTTTTACAATCCAGTAAAGTTAAATTTCACTCTGTATTTTATCTTTTTTTAAGGAACACCTAAAAAAAATTATCGAATTTTTATGCCAAAAATGCAATAGGGAAGCATAGAGTTTAAGGAACTTCCCTCACATTCCATACCTTCCAGTCCATCAAAAGGATGTTAAAGCTACTCAGATTACTAGAAAGCCTTCGAAAGGACAAACAGAATTGGGACTAATAAGTTTGTAAGCTTCTTGATAAGCTGAACTTTCCATGCATAGGATTGTAAAAGGGATTTGAGGCGACACATTTCAGTTGCTTGTTTGCTAATTATTCTTGTTCCAATTGCTCAATCTTAAACTTGTTTTGGGAAATATGATGAAAATTCGCTTTCATTTTTCTCCCCTAATATTCCCCTTTGACTAATTATTGAAGTTGTGTGATGAATAGTGCTGATCAAAGTAAGCCCGGTTTAAATTGGGACAGGCTCTGGTCCGATTTTTTCAGCCTGGTTTGATTGTTTTTTATTTTATTTTTTAGACTGGCTTGGGCTTGTGTATTTGTGCATTATTAGTTGATTTTTTATCCGCCTAAAAAAACCTCAAAAAACCTGAGTGGTACAAATTCTTGTGTGAACCCTGGTCCATCTATTTTAGACGGACTATCTCCTAAAAGACACCTTCTATAAATAAAATAAAGAAACAATCGCTGACATCATATTGACCACGTGCCAGCCTTATAAGAAAAATTTTCCCGACTTAATAAAAATATGACGTCATTATATTTTCTTTGGTTTCAAATTTCAAATTTAATTTCTCCTTCTGTTAATTTATCTATACTCTTTAATTTATTTATTTTTCTTATATCACCAACTATTGATATCTAATACATCTTTCCCTTATACTTCATCGAACAAAATACTTTGATGTATATATTTTTTCTATTTTCCTGTATATATTACAAGTTTAAAATTATTTTTTATTTGCTTAATTAAAATCGTACATTAAAAAATCTAACTTTTATGTATATGCTTAAATTTTCACATACGGTTTGTTTTTCTTCAAAATTAATTTTATGAATTTAGCATTTACAACTAATGGTTATGTCTCAATAATTTTTCTGATACGTAAGAATACATAAATATATACCGTATATTTCAAACCGCCAAAACCAAAATCAGTCACAAGGTTTGAAGCAAAGAGCGACGAGCCCAGAGACACCAAAGAAGAACCTCCCAAGAGGGAGGAAAAACAGTGGTTGAGCAAACAACGCAGGGCGCGTGCAAGAGATTACAAAGAAAATGGTCACCCAAGAGGCACCAGCCACAACTTGAAGCTCTCCACCACAGTCTCAAGGAAGCAGCTCCCCAACAGATGATGGTGGAAGCAGCTGTCCCCCTTAATTCAACAGATTCCACTCCCAGGAGGAAATTTAGAGATGAAGCTCTCAACAAGATGTTCGAGCCGAGCGACTCCAGAGACAAGCTCCTCGTCAACAAAGAAGATCCAGCTCAAGAGTCAGATAAGATTCCAGAAGATAGCCGCACCAACGGCGCATCCGAAACTTGAGATAGTTTAGGGTTTTCTAATTTTGATTGTAACTTTTGTAAGTCGACGAGGTCGTCGACAGCTTAAGTGGGGGAGGATGTTAGAATCCAACTCCTTTTGATGTATTAGATTCCATTTAAGTGCTTTCCTAGAGTTTAGGTTATGTTTTCTTAGCTTAAGGTCCCATTATTGTGTTACTGTCAGATCAGTGTTCACTAGGGATTCTCCTTGTATGTCATTTAAAGCTCTTTAGAGGGCGAATGATTAATGAAATCTTAAAGCCTTCTACCAAGTGTTGCCTTGCTTTTATGCTTGTTTGTTGTTAGACCTTTATAGATATTGTGTCTTACTTGCATATTAGCTCCCCTCCAACCCAACTTGATGCGCTAAGGACTCGTGGTTCGGACCCGCTTGTACCCGCTTTGAAGTATCGGCCGTCACAAGCCCCGACCACCCGCCGAATCCGTGTATCGTACGGAACTAATCTAGTTATACAAATAAAATACAACTCAATTCTACTCATTTTTCTTCTTGCATCTTTACATCTTCTTCTTCTTCCTTGTTTTTTGTTAATTTTATGTTCCTTCTATACAAAATCTCTCTCTCTCTCCCTCTCTCTTTTTATTATTTATTTTTAAATCTGATCTCTTTTTATTTCTTTCTCGATTTTAATTCATTCTTTTTTTTTTTCAAATTCTTATTTTCTCTCTCCTCTACTTGAAGAGATTAATCCAGGTTAGTTATTATGAATTCATTGTAATCAATATTAATTAATTTTTTGATTTTGCAATGAATTTGTGGATGAAATTATTGTTTAATATCAATTGAATTTGTTGCAACTAATCTGTTCGATTTCAATCGTAATCCTATGATCAATTAATCAATATTTTTTTTTATTGTTGTCAGTAATTTGATCGATTAATTTATTAATAAAAAAATATGGACATTACAAATTTTTAACATTTAGTAAAAAAAATCCGAATTGAACATCGAAAATTTTGAATATTTAGTAAAAATATCTAAACAATCGCAATGTATCATGTCTATACTTTTGAAGATTTAGTAAAAAAAAAAAAAACTGAAGGATTACAAATTTTGAATATTTAGTGAAAAAAAAAATCTAAACTGAACATCGAAAATTTTGAACATTTATACTACGCCTATACTTTTGAACATTTAGTAAAAAAAAATCTGAATGATTGCAAATTTTGAACATTTAGTAAAAAAATCCGAAAAGAACATTAAAATTTTTGAACATTTTGTAAAAGTATCTGAATAATCGCAATGTATCACGCCTATACTTTTGAATATTTAGTAAAAAAACTGAACGATTGCAAAATTTGAACATTTAGTAAAAAAAAAATTGAACTGAACATCAAAATTTTTGAACATTTAGTAAAAGCATCTGAACAATCGCATTGTACCACACCTACACTTTTGAACATTTAGTAAAAAAATCTGAACGATTGCAAATTTTGAACATTTGGTAAAAAAAATCCGAACTGAACGTTGAAAGTTTTGAACATTTAGTAAAAATATCTAAAAAATTGTAATGTACTAAGCCTATACTTTTGTACATTAGGTAAAAAAAACTAAACGATTGCAAATTTTGAACATTTAGTAAAAAAATCCGAACTGAACATCGAAAATTTTGAACATTTAGTAAAAATATCTAAAAAATTGTAATGTACTACGCCTATACTTTGTACATTAGGTAAAAAAAACTAAACGATTGCAAATTTTGAACATTTAGTAAAAAAATCCGAACTGAACATCGAAAATTTTGAACATTTATTAAAAATATATGAACAATCGTAATATATCACGCCTTAACTTTTGAACATTTAGTAAAAAAATCTGAACAATTTCAAATTTTAATTTGAACTTTTAGTAAAAAAAATCTGAACATCATAAATTTTGAACATTTAGTAAAAATATCTGAACAATCGCAGTGTACCATTGCACGCCTTGAAATCGATCGGATCAACTTTAACAATTCATCTCATCACTAGTTGTGGAATAATTTGTCGAAAAAATGTGAAAGAAATCTAAAGAAATTTTAATTCTTCAAATATTTAATTACCTTTCTGGACTTTTTTCTTGTTTTCTTCCATGGCGATTCGTCAATTGCAGAGGAGAGAGATAAATATTGAGCGATTGAAAAATGAAATGAAAGTAATGAATGAAAGTAATTGCAGAGGAGAGAGATATGTTTGTTTGAGCAAAATAACAAAATGAAATAAACTAAAGAAATTTTGAGAGTGTTTGGGCCGCGAGATTTGAGGTTTGTAGTGTATATGGGCCATTAGTCCATCTATTCTAGATGGACCAAGGTCTACAATAGACTTATTGCCTGAGTGGTCCGGCTATTTTGGGCGGGTTTGAGCTTGTGATTTTCGGCTCGAAATTTGGCTTGGCCTAACCTGACCAATAGGCTGCTTTTTTGGCTTATTTTCGCCTCCAAGTTTGGCTTGGCCTAACCTGACCAATGGGCTGCTTTTTTGGCCTATTTTCAGCTCAAAGTTTGGCTTGGCCTAATCTGACCAATGGGATGCTTTTTTGGCCTTGGCTTTGCTTGACCCTCACTTTGATCAAATCTTGTGCTAAAAGTGCTAAAACGCAGTCCTTGATGTTTTTCCTTATTCATTTAACGAGTATAGTACCCATGTGGTAATAAGTAATTTTTCCATAGTTCTTTTATATACTTTGTTGTTGATATCACTTTAAAATAACTTGGCTTGCTTTAAAAAAAAAATGGTATATAAATATTAAAAAAAAAACATGTACATAGTCCTTTTTTTTAAATGTTTATTATTTATTGTTGCATTATAATATTTACTACAATGTTATATAAAATTTTCTAAAATGATGGTTAGACAAAGTATATTTAATGTTTCATCATCTATTGAGCTTATATGTTTAAAGTGGAAGCTTTAAAAATGTATATTATTAGCTATTAATATCTAATATTGTTGTATATTGAAAAGATTCAAAAGCAGTATTGAGTATACAACAATATTGATGCCTCAACTTTGGTATTTTTAGTTTTAAACCTACCTAATCCTAAGATCTAGCAAGTAAAAGGAAAGGGAAAAATAAATAAAAAAAATAAATAAATTGATGACATCATAAGTAAATTTGGAGGGAAATTTTTTAATGAGAGCTTGACACGTA